AAATAAGCAGCGTTGCTCTCACAGTGCTGTCCTGCTGAAGCAAAAGGTTGAAGCGTTGGTGGACTTAAAGAAGGCAAATTTGGATGACTACAGTTTCTTTCAACATCTAAAGCTGACTCCTCTGATGGTGTTGAACCAGAGCAACGAACCCTCATGTTAAGTCTAGTCCTTTCCATGATTATTAATTCCTAAGGAAATAATGGGCAAGAAATTAAGAATTGGCACATAAAAAAAAATGACTGCATAACTGTCTAGCTCTTCATGCATCATACTTGCCATTGAAAAGTGATGTGGGTGCAGAGTGTTAATTACATTTTCCCTATGATTCCAAAAATTTAGTAAGATGCATATTCGCCTTTGTGCTCCTTTGTAAATGTGGAAACACAAACTACATATTTACGAGAAAAAAAAAGAAAACTAAAAAAAAAACATGTAAACATATTGAAAAGACAGTCCCAACTGGAACAGAATGACCATTATAGTGTTATGCATAAGCACTTGGTAGATGATGCAAGAAGTTGACTCCTTCAGAATTAGATAGCTCCTTTGATTGTGTGAGCTTAAATATCATATCAAATGACAGAATTTAAAAAAGAGAGAGAGGGACAAAAGAATAGTAACATCCAAAACTATTATGGCCTTTAAGTGGAAATGGAAGAAAACATGCAAAAAATTACTGTTTACAGTTCTCAATGAGAGGAGAAAAACTTAACAAAAAATAACCAATTACAAATGGTTCCAACAAAACTGTTAGGCATCAAACCAATGGTGAAATAAAGCAAGTTAACATGTCATTCCATCAGTTTGTCAAAGGTAAAGAAGAAAGGCAACTGCTGATAATGCTAAGCACCAGAAAGTGGGAAAATTGTGAATAAGAACCTAGAATACCTGAACATGGAGGAGAAGCCCTTAGCCACCCATGGATCATAATAACTAAGTATCATAATTAGAAATTCCAAATTAAGGAGGTAATCTCATCAGGTGTGTCATGTCAAGTATGTAGCCAACTTAGTTTCGCATAATCCCAAGGCAATAATTAGATCAAATAACTCATAAGGTACAAATAATCGATAATTTCCAAACTAGAATCAAATCTACTTAAGCATTTCATAAGTTAATTATGCCACCATTGGCAAAAGACAGTGATGTTCTACATTTCAAGTTGTTCATTGTGATCTAACCTTTATCCATGAAATTTATCAATATTAGTAAGTCAAATTTAAGCCCAGCATCAAGTGTCATGCCTTGAACTTTCCTTATAGACAAGTGAAAGAAGAACATAAGAAACTTGAAAGAATGAGAAAAGTATATGTTTTTTTTGTACAGCTTGCTCTGCAATGCGGATAAACAGTCATGCCACAGGAAACTGCACTTATAGGGAATACATGATTATTAGTTAATACTACTAAAATTTAAAAGGTACAAAATTTTTGCTCCTCGGAAACCCTAAGAGCCAAGTTCCAAAAACATATTTTCTTTGGAAAATAAATAACCAAAAAAATACAGAATCCACACATAGGGACGAAGATTGTGAGCATAGCAATTCATTTCCAATAAAAGTCTGATTAGTGAACATACATTTGTTGATAAAAGTGGTAGTATGAAACTTTGCATGTTGCAAATAACAAGATGTAAATAGATCATCCAGTTATACCAAACAAGACAAGGAGAAAACACATTAAAATCTTTTAAAGAAAGGCTATATTGCAGAACCAACAATTAAAATGGAAGCCAAACTGTTCAATAATAAACAAAAACAAAGAGGTTCTATTAAGGACCTGGAAACTACAGAGAAGCTAATGTAAAATACTTCTGATTCATTATTTTTAAGGATATTAATATAAAATTCAAGACTTTTCCTTAAAAAGTGAGTATGCACTGTTACATGCCCCACACGACACATACATATACACAATCGTGAACATGCGAGGCACATATGTCTCTGACCTTCCATGTTCTGTTTCATTTTGCTCTAATTCTGTGTTCTAAACCAAAAAGATCGGAAAAGCATTATACCAGATATAAGAAACACGCATGGCAAGAGGAACAAGAACATGCAAATAGGCAAGAGCATCTAACTCGCTTACATGACATGACCCTTTTTCTGTATAGAATTAGACGACTCCGATTTAAGTCTCTCCCACCCCCCCCCCCACCCCCCCAACCCGCCGGAAAAAAAAAAAAAGGAGAACAGGCAAGTCGCAACCAGGTAAAAGAATCTGAGTAGACGATCAAGGGTAAGATCATTTCATTTCAGATGAGAATTCACTCAACACCAAAAGGACCAAATGCAGTAGAAAATACTCAAAAAGATTTTTTTAAAAAAAAACGCCATGCTAGATAGGGTTGTCCCATACGCTTGTCATGCTGGTACCCTGCTTTCAAAATAAACTTTTATTTAATAGACTGTAAACTGAAAAAGCTCTACCATGAATGCTCCAAAAGTAGAGTTCGCCATCATTTCAACAATAAACATAATCCCTCCGATCATCAGAACTCGGTAACCAAAGAAACAAGTCAACATCACAAAACGATCCACATGATCAACATGAAACTTCACTCAGTAACGTACAAATTCAAAACAATCCGCAACAAGTAGAACGATAACACTGATCAAATCATCCATGAACAGATAACGAGAAATTACTTAGAAAGGGTAAGAGAAGAATCCAGACTCACTGACGAGCACTGTCGAAGATGGTGAGTTGAGTATGTGTGCAAGAGAGCAGTTCAATTTGGTGAGTCTCAATTCTCAGTAGCCATCAGCCAAATTTGAAGTGAGAATCCTGGGAAAGTTGCAGAAATTGACGGTTAGCTCTGTGTATTGCATGTAGCTGCTGCTCATTTGTTGACACCATTAAAAAACCCATGGAAGCCAAAACCAGTGCCACCGTGTGCAGGCATATATATGAATAAGGTAAAGTAAAGCGAGCAATTTTTGGCAAAATAACTTTACCTGAAGGGAGTGAGATACCTGCGGCCAATCTCATTCTAATAATTCAGGCAATCAATTTATGACCGTTGATTCATCTTAGGTTTTTTTAAAAAAAAAACTAAAAATTATATTTAATTTTAGGGAAATAGTTATTCTTTTATATTTTGATTCTTATTTATAAGATAATAAATTCAAGTCGAGTTATGTTTATTATATTTATTTTTATTAAAATTTTGATTAATTATATCGATATTAATATATAAATATTATATAATTATTAGAATGTATGAATTTTTATCTATACATTAATAAATAATAAATAAATTACACTTATTTTTTTTTAGAAAACCTTTATATTCATACCACATCATTAATGAAATAATTAACCACTTAAGTAAATATTAAATTATTATATCTATAAATTTTATTTTGAATTATAAAAATTAATAATATGACTTATTATAATTGTCTAAGTTTAAGCCTAAAAACTCATTCCAACATTTTGGTTCACATATAGTATTTCTTTATATAATTTTATTATAAACTATCCTAATGTGTTTAATATTAATTGTGACATATTAAATGTCACAATTAATATTAGATGTATGTTATGATATATTGTGATACAATATTTTTCTAATTATACTTTGTATACAGAGCCAAAACTTAAAAAAAATGAATTTATAATTTAAATGCGGAAGAAAATAATAATGTTAAAGTTTACATTATTTACTCAATAAATTAAATTGTCCAATAGAATTATAAAAATATTTATTCTACATGATTCATAAAAGATAAACGATAATTGAAGAAAAATAATAAATAAATGTCCTAAGACAACATTCACTAACACTTGAAGGGAGTCCGGGATGTGTACTACTCACAACCCTCTTACTGATCGAGATCTAGATTTTGATCTTCTTGATCTAAAATGGTTAATAAAAAAGTAAGTTACACTAACCCAGTAAGAATATCATACTAATTACTGATACGAAAAACTGAAGGTTGGTAAAAATCAGAAAATAATTAATGGAGCTTTTGTTTTAAGTAAATACATTTAAATTTAAAACTATTTGTTCGATATTTATCGTACGATTTTTTTTTTCTAAAATCAATCTATGAAAATAATTAACTAAATGATATTTTAATTCCATGCATAAGATCAATAATTCTTCCTTTTTATCATACTTACTGGGACCTCTGAGAGTCCATAGAGATAT